GTCGGAATTATTAATACAAACTTTATATTTCCACTTAATTCGTATCTCACAATCACATTTTTACAACATTATTTTTATTTATATCGATTTCGCTTAGTTGTCAAAATATTTTCATCTGATAAATAACAATTATTTTCAATTTTTTCTTTAACATTTGCGTAATGTTACATCTCTAGCTATCTTTTCGTATTATATAGTTGCAAATGTTACTGTCAATCGGCAATATGAACAAACCGATTGGGCGAGCTACATTTCGGAATGCACGTACGACGTTCTCGTGAACACATCTCTGGCTAACATTGTTCAGGAGAATGACAATTTCTGCGCTATGATTGCCACCGAACTCAAGTGCCGACCTAAGGGAGACGACAGTCTTAGCTGCCACTTCCAGAACTCTTCCATCAAACGTCCCGACCCGAAAGACAATAGATGCTCGAACGCGAAGGATTTTGTGCCTACGAGATATAAATTCGTAGGCGATGAACCCTTCGAAATCAGATTCAATTCGAAGGGTATTGAAAATCTGGTGGTTCACAGATCGATTCCTAGATGGAAGCTTGACATGATCAAGAGTATAGTCAGCCAATTGAATGTTGGTTTCGAGATGCAGGAACGTCGCGACAGATTTACAATTATGGAAAATTCAACAGTGGGTCACTGCGAAGTTGATGTTAAGATCATTCGTAAAAATCTGGATTCCCAGGAAAATGACGATGATTCTATTGAGGAGAGTGAGAAATTCGAGATCGGATTTATGCCGTCGAGCGTAGAACTCGCGCGTCCTTTAGTCATAAAAAGGCTCCAGGTAGAAAAAAACAGACAACCGAAAAGATGCCCACGAAGAATAATATACTTCTTTGGAAATGATGAGGATTATAGTCGCGGTGACAAGCAACTTTACATGGACATGGTACGATAAAGAAACTGTTTAAAAATATTCACTTTGATAAACAAAAAAGATAACAAACTCTTAATAATTTTCTAATGAAAACAAGTATTAATATATTTAAAACTTGATATAAAGGTATTGAAACTATATATGTATATATATAAATTTCTTATCTTGGAACATAAAAATTTTTTTACAGTAAATTAAATTAATATAACGATCAATAATCCAGCAATTTTTGGATTTAAAATAATACAATAGTTTCTATATTTAATAAGACATAAGTAATAAAAAGTTTCTGCTTACAGAGCCTTATATTCAGTTTGATTAACATAAATTATAAATATCTTTATCGTTATTCTATGATATTGGATTTCAAACAATTATCCAGATATTCATCCTTTTTCAGATTGTAAGACAATTTCTTGATACACCAATAATAAAATTTCATACGTCAAATTTCTAAATTTTATGTAATAAACTCTTCGTTTAACGGCGATATTCTCGTTAAATCATTAATGTTCCAATGCGGTCAGAAAAGTGAATTATCAATGTAATTAAACTCTCTTTAATCAGTAAAACTATACGTAATAAAAGAAGTAAATAAAATTGTGACATTTCTTATATGAAAGAAACTTATATAAGAAACCATGGTGTAAAACACGTTCTTTACATTTTAACATTAGAACAAAACAACAAAACTCACCAGTAACCAAGTTAAATCGTACTAAACTTCAGAATTAAAACTCTAATAATATAACACACGCAATTTCCAAGGATAACTGACAATGAGATGACATTGATATTTATACTTATTATATAAAAAAAGCTATAGTATATGCTGCAAAGCGTTTGCTATTGCTTATGTTGTGCAATTTCATGTATTAGGTTGACGCAAAAATAATGTCTATTTATTACTTTTCTGATTCCATTATTATGACAAACAGTTATTGATTGATCATAAATTGTTAATTGATTAATTCCTGTGCAATCTCTTGAGTGATTTTTAATAGATTCGCTTCAATAATTATCTTCAAAGTCATCGTCAATGACTGCAGACCATCTCTAACCCTTTTCATCTTCAAGACTGTCATCTCTGTTACGAAATTTTTGAAGCCATCAGTATACTGTCCGTTCGTTCGTAGTTTCCTAGCCGAATGTTTCATTAATTCTTCGACCCATTTTTGGTATTTTAAAACTTAGTTTGAGTTTATATTCAAAATATTCGGAATCGCTTCTCTTTTATACTTAATGATAATGATAATTGGTTGAAACGAAGTTAACATTATATTAAAAACAAAATTATACTAGCACATTTAACAAAGCGGAATCTGCGCTTTAAAATGATACAACATGACCCGATCGAATTCTTATTATAGAATAAAGCCTCCAAAGTTTAAAGTATTAAAAATTGACATTATTTTTACATCAACATAATAATATATCAAAATAAGATCCATCTAAAAATTCTATATCTTTTTTACAAGTTAGCCTCATTTTCTTATATAAATCATCACTTTAATTAATCTTTTATTGTAATTATTATATATTCAATGTCTAATATTTTCACCCTTTCCTAATTAAAAGTGTGATTTGTCTCCAGAATATGTTGTGTAATGACAGAATGGTTTGATGGATCTAATATAAATGGATCAAAATTAAAAAACATTTCAGAAAAAGAGTAAGTTTTTACACAATAAATTTTATATGATAAAAAATTCGATATCTTTATGAAAAATTATCGTACACATTTTTTTTGAAAAATGTTTAAAGCTTAGGATGCCTATTTTCAAATATTTTCGTATTAAATTTTGTTTGTTGATGTTTCATTAAACTGTAAGGCCATAATTCTACATTGTGCTTTTTAATTGTTTCCTGTTTCTTGCTGTTTGTCTCTGTTTGTCTCTTGTCTTCTTGATCAAAAAGGCAAGAGACAAATAGAGACAAACAGCAAGAAACAGGAAACAAAAAGCACATTGTAGAATTAGCCTAATGCCTTAAATTAAAACAAAAATATTGCAAAGATATCATTTTTTATTTTTATATATTATAACTTAGCTCAGAAACAGAATATCGTATACAAAAGATTCAAATGTACATTTAAAGCACTATCTTTACGCTTTAAAGTTTAAAATGCGTGGTCGAAAATCCGTGAGATTTTAATTTTTCGTAAAATGTAAGAAAATTATGAGTGCCTAATACTTTTGCACATGGCTGTATTATATCAAATTTCGTAATATAACCAGTAGCGGACACTTTGTATATACTGTAACTTTCCTTATATAAGTGTCCTTATATAAGAGGAATATCAGTGTCATCTCAGTTATCCTTGGGAATCGTCTGTTATTAGAGCTCTGTGCTCTGTTTCATTATCAAAATATGTTAAAATATAAAAAACGGGTTATACCATGGATTTAAGATTCTTTCATAAAAATGTTCCAATTTATTAATATTTTTATATAATTTTACTGATTAGTTTGATTACATTGATATATAATTCATTTTTTTAACCATATTGGAACACTAATTATTTAATCTCGCCGTTAAACAAAAAGTTTGTTATATATAAAAAAATTTAGAAATGTAACGTATAAAATTTCACTATTATATATATAATATAAACATGGTGTATCAAAAAACTCACAATATGAAAGAGGATGAATATCAATTGAACGCTAATATTGTGGAATAACAATAAAGGTTTATAATTTATTCTCAAACTGAGGAATGTCTTAAATATCGAAACAATTGTATTACTATATATCCAAAAGATGCTCGATTATTATTGTCATATTAATTTGATTTGCTGTGCAAACAATTGTTTTACACACAATTGCTGGCTTAAACAATATTTTTAAATCAAAATCTGTCTTTTTCTTTTCTTTCAGACTACTTCTATCAGTCATATCACGATCTCAAAAAATCAATTTGTATCCTACACAATATCGGAGGGTATAATGAAAACAGCAAATAAATCACGAATTATGTATCCTTATCAAAAAATAAGCTTAAAGTTGAAGCGAATAGATCTCATTGAAAGTTCGAAAATTTCATTGCCAGAGATCCAAAATCCAGCCTCGACAAGTCTATTTGCTTTTTTAAATTTGCAAACTGTTTCGAAAGACGAATAATTTGAAATATTGTTGTGTTGACGAAAAGCTAAGAAACTGTTTCACAGATTTATGTACAAAAATCAATTATAAAAATAATATTCTATAATCTATTATTAAATATTTCATTTCGTAGAACTTTTGTTTGTAAAATTTAACATTATTTAATTAAAAATACCAAAAAAAAACACACACATATACATATATATATATAATCTAAAATAAAATAATATAATTTTATTTATAGTACATAAGTTGTTAAACGCAATTGTAATAAAAAATTAGAATTGTTTAAGGTGAGAATAATGCAGCTACTAAAATTGACATTAATTCTTTGAATATCTTCTTGCTAAGTGTTCGCGCTGTATTGTCAGTGATTGTTCTCGCTACAATTCACATTCAAAGTGGACTAATTTGACTTCGTTTAAAGCTCGTGTGTAAAGATACTTCTGCAGCTTTTAACACAAATCTGTTTAAGAAATATTTACTGCTATAAAATATAATGCACTTTCAATGGATATGGTTATACTTACTTTTTGCCTAACAAAATATATTTGTCGTTACAATAAAAAATGATATAATATTACCTTACAATTATAATTACAAGATTAAAGTAAGAAAAACGCCTAATTTAATTTAAAGAATAAAATAAACATCTTCGAAATTAGTTTAAAATCTATTTGACACAATGTCATAAATAAACGCATTAGAATGAAATAAAAATTTTTCATTTCCACAGAATTAATTACAGTAATAATATTAACTTTATGTATAAAAAGTTTGGAGTTAATACGGTCTGTATGTTATATTATTTATATTATTATCTCATTATTTATGATCATATATGTATATGAACGTGCATACGTCATATGCGGTCATAATATACGGCATCCTGGGGTTCACTATGGACGCAAGCGCTGTTGAATATTATGCTGTTAAATTGTGAGTACGTTCTGATATAAAGGAGCGTACGAGTGTAAGAGGAGTAGTATCAACGTACGTGTAGAGTTGTAGGGTGTAGCAAGGCGCATTGTCGCGAGATGTACACCAGCGTGATCCCGTACTTCCTAGGTCGGTAAGCCATTAACAAGTATAACTACTTGAATCCACGTGCCTACCATTCAATGTTGCATTTGTGTTTATCTAAAGTTCTAAAAAAAAAAATAAAACTAAATAAAAATAACTTATCAAGGAAATTAAAATATAATTACATATCTAGATATTTATCGGCCACTAATTTGCTTTAAAGCTGTATGTTTTTTTAATATATGTATACAAACTTAATTTAAGCCTATACATCAATTTTTGAATAGTTTTGTTGAGAGAAGTTTAAAAAAAAATTCTTAAAATTTGGTTCAAATTCTGGATGCAAAAAGATTAGAAAAAAAAGAAAAAGAGTATATTATATATACATAATAATTAATGCAATAATATTGTATTATTAATATTAAGAAGTCCATATTTTATTATTATTGCTTAATTATTCATTATTAACATAATTAATGATTTCCCTCAGATAGCACAGAATATTTATATAATAAATATTTATAAATATTTATTATTATTCATTTTTTGAAATATTATATAAATATTTTAACAATTTTCTTGATCTTGATTAAAGATTTTAATAAGGCTTGTATAAATATTTTATACATATTTTATATATGCTTTATTCGAAAAAAGAAAACGTTATTAAAATATAAACTAAATGTTTTATATAATTATTTATGATAATCATAGATAAAGATATTTTTAGTAAATATTTTTTACTTAGATTATATGTCTTATTAAGCATTTTCATAGCATTTACTGTAATATATTAGATAGTAAACTTAGTTTCCGTGGATTTTTGCTTAAAAAAACACATTTATCTCGATATCAAAAGTAAAATATACATGAATCAAAGTATTTGCCCTCGCTATAAGTTATATATTTTTCCCATCTTTCGGGCAATAAGTGGATTCCGCAACGATAGAACAATTGATCTTTTGAAATAATCCATTTGTTGATCCATTTTCGCACATCCTCGTAATTTCTGAAGAGTGTATCCACCGAGCCGTGCTGCATCGATCGGAACAAGTAATAATAGTCTGAAGGAGCTAAGTCTGGTGAATACGCTGGGTGCGGGAGAACTTCCCACTCGAGCTGCATCAGTGTTTCCTTGTCAGCTTTTGCAACGTGTGGTCGAGCGTTGTCGTGCAAAAGCATAATTTAGCGTCGATTGCTGGCTACTGCCGCTGGCCTTTCTTCAAACAATGCTTCATTCAGACAGTTCAATTGTAATTGATATCAATCTTCCGTTTCTGATACTTTCGTTCGGTTTGAGTAGTTCATAGTCAGTGTTCGATCTTATCTGGATAAAATTATCTAGATGATCATCTAGATGAAATTTTGATGCCATCTCATCTTTATCTAGATAATAAAAATATTAATTATCTTTATCTGCATTTTAGATGAAAAAAAGTATCATCTTTATCTAGAATAATGTTTAGATACTTTGGTTCATATTTTACATTGCTAAAAATGTGAAAATATTATAATTTTTTCTTCTATGCAGTTAATGTTTACAGAAAAATTTTCAGCCTCAGGAAGAGAGTGAGTGCATCTAATATAGCATATATAATCATTCACATTGCTCTCAAATGATCTTTATTTATTCCTGCACTAGGACACTTAATTCTGATTGATTAACCCAGAGCTGCCCAAAGTCGGTGTTTTTTTTGCTCGTCTTCATTTTATATTTTAGTTTCAATTAACTAATTGCTATTTGTTACATATATATTTAATTCGAAGAAAATATATACAATAATTACATTTCGTTCAGTACTTAATTACCTTCCACATGTACGCTTGAAATGATTATATTGAAACTATGGATTAAAACTTAAAAACTCGATTTAAAAAAAAGTGCTCACTCTTCGATTTTAATATTTATTGCAAAATGGTCCTGAAATGTTCCAAAACCAATTCCAGAAGGAAAATCAGAGGTGCAGGAAAGTCAGGGTTGAATTCAATCGAGGACCACCGTGATTTTTTAATTATTTTGAGAAAAAACTGATTCTTAATTTATAAATAGTCTTAAAAATAAAAAATTATCTGGAATTTTTTAGATGAATTGTCAGATAAATTTATCTATATTATCTAGATTAATTTAAATGTAATCATCTTTATCTTATCTAAGATAAATTTCCAAATTTTCATCTTATCTTTATCTAGCTAATTTTAAAATCATCTATGCACAACACTGTTCATAGTAAACGACGCCTTGCATGTCCCACAAATGCAGAGCATTGATTTGTGACCATGGATATTTCGCTTTGGTGTAGATGTTGATGGTTGGCCGGGATCCACCCATGACTTTTGCGTTTGGGATTGTTAAAATGTATCCACTTTTCATCGCCAGTCACAATGCGCCACAAAAAACTTTCTTTCTTTTCTGTCTGGCGAGCAGAGAAATAGAGATGTTTAAAGCAATTCGCAATGGCAATTCGGTTAAGTCGTGTGGTACCCATTTTTCTTCCTTTTGAATCTTTCCCATTGTATGTAGACGTTTGGAAACAGCCATCGGAGTAACGTTTGATGTTGCAGACAATTGTTTGAGCTAAGTTTTCGTCTTCAAACTTTTTCGGTTAATCTGAGCATTGTTTATCATTTACATTATAACCATCACTTTTAAATCGCTGAAATCATTTTTGGCATATTCTTTACGATGGAGCATAATTACCATAAGCTTTGACAATAAGCGATTTATGAACTGCAGCTGCAGTTTTTTTTCAAATCAAAGCAATGAAGCGACACATGTCGAAAAAACAACTAGTCACGTTCCATGTTTAATAAAACAAAAAGCACTGTTCGAATGTCTAACCTTTAAAATGCAGCCAGTTTCAGATGTCAAAGTAAATTACACCTACAACTAGCATCAGCTAAATTTGAATCGGAAACTACCATAAGTTTAGCATTTAATATATAATAAATGTTTTATAATTCTTACAATAAATATTTATGATCTGTGTAATCTAAGACCACAAAATATTTACAAAGTAAATTAAAAATAAATCTTACAAATATTTTATAAATATTCTATAAATATTGTGTGCTGTCTTGATTAAAAAGTTGCATGTACAAAAATATATTTTTTTAGTAATAAACGACAGTTATTAATATTTAATTCAATTAAATTTTTCATCGTTTACTCAGCGGCCTACATAATCGTCAACGATACGTCGGAATGGACGTTCGGGCCGGAATACTCGTATGATTTCAACATGACTTATATAATAAGACCAGATCGCCACGACCCTCATGTCCATCAGATACAATTAATATCTACAGTAAAATGTCGTCCTAAACTAGCAATAGACACTTTATTCTGTCATTTGTATAATATTACGGAATCGGAAGTATTCGAGAATGAACACATGACGCGGGAAGCAAAAACGGAAGAAATATTTGAGATTAAATTTAACGAACACGGCGTGGAAGGCCTGTTGATCGAGCCACCATCTCGTATGGAAATCGTGAACGTTCTTCGAAAGATTGCCACTCAGTTTAACGTGATTATCGATCGGCAAAAAATTGGCATGCCGCAATATATGGCCAGAGAGAACTCGACAATGGGCGATTGCGCGGCCACGTACAAGATCATGCGTGAAGAATCTGATATTGACACGTTCAAGAAAACAGGTACCAATTTTGAGCTCAAGATATTACCATTGGACGATGCGAAACCTGGGACAACTCTCTTGATCGAGAAATCTCGAATGGGATGTATTAATCCACCGCGATATGTCGATTTTTCAAGAGGACTATTAGAAATGGTATGTATCTATATGTATACATATTATTAATATATAAAATATGCAGCGATACGAACCACTCTCAGATAATCTTGACATATGTTGTGAAGATCATCACTCTGATTACTCTGAGTAATCCTTGAACAAATGTTAGCTGTCATTCGATTGTCATCATTCGTTAAAAATTATTGACCAAATATTATATAATTTTTTGACACCCTATATAAAAAGTTAGAGGGAAGATGGGGTGGATCTGGCTTTGCGTGAAAAGTTTACCATACAAAAAATATGTTGTTGAAATGATAAAATTTGTTTGTCAATGTATGACCAACATTTTATTTTGTTGAGAATTTCAAATAATTTTGTTAACTTGAATTTTGTTATTGTACATTTTGTTGTCGTAATAAACTTGCGATAATAAACCTGCTTCGCGCGTGCATATAATTTAAATTTTGTTGCCATAATAAAATTCATTTGTCAGGATTATACAATAAAATCCAAAAAGTATTTTATACTGTGAACAAAACAAAAGTAACGAATTTTGTTATGATAACGATAGTTTATATTAAAAGAATATAATTTATTAAATATATTAATAAAACGTTTTTGTTTAAAGTTATTAGGACACCTTGTGTGTGTGGGTGTGTGTGTGTGTGTGTGTATAACAGAAATGAGACATTATTTCTTAAACTTTTTAATTAATAACTTTTTAATGAATAACAAGCGATGGCTAAAATCTATTAAAGATTAGTCAAGGTGATGACTTTGACAAAATATGTCAAGATCACCGTCATCGTAGGGTGATCCGTATCCCTGCATAATTAATAATTTTTGGCTTATACTTCTTTGCAGAGGAAATTTATCAGCAAAATACAGGTTAATTCAAACAAATTCGAAACTTCCACTGAATTCGATGGAATAGTAAGATTTCCGACTGAAAGCGAAATTGAAGCGTTATCGTTTACAGAAATAATGCAGATTAATCTAAATAGTATTGAACCTGCGCAAAATGAACTTCCGTCTCTGTCCTACGCCGAACTGATCGATTTAAATTTTAACAATGATATACCAAGCAATTATATAAATTAAAGCGACAATATATATTTAGATATTATCTCTGAAATATATATCTATATGTTACACATTGAAGGCAAGCTATACAATTTTCTGGTATTAAATATCTAATCAAATTAAATCTATCAAACTGTAAACAGAATCAAATAAACAGCATCTTGTATATAAAATAAAATTTTTCTTTTCGTCTCTGTCGATCCCTTATTAACTCTTATTGTCCACACGCGTTATCTTGTTTTCAATTCAAAAGACAAAAATTCGTATTTTTGGAAAATGTCCGCGGTTAAATAATTAAATCCCGGGACATTATTCAAACCCTAATAATAGATATTTCGCTGGATTACGGCAAGTGTACCTTACTAACAGTTTTAGCAAAGTCGTGAGTTATCATCGAACGCCCTGCAGGATTGGATGTAATCCAAAAGTGCGGCCTTTTTCAATGGATCGTAGACAATGCAATCGAGAGATTGAAACTAATACGAGTAGTGCGGTGGAAGAGACAAAACAATTATATCGTTGGATTTGCAAAAATCTAGTCCCTTGATTGATAAGTGGAATTCGTGATTGTCTAACACAAACACAATAGGGTATAGGCGACGGAGGTATGAACGTGGGATTAGAAAAACACACCAAAAATTCGAAAATATGTTCCACGTGATAGAGGATTTTTCGACTCAGTTTAGTCCGCTCTATCTACACAAAAGCGATTGGAAGAAACTCTCGATACACCCTGTATATATAATAGGTTTGAGATAACAAAAATCGCATAACTTTTCCTCTAATCCAATAAAATTCGTCCATTACTTTTTTCAATAGCAAGAAAACATTGTTGATATTGGTTCGATTGAAATTAGTGGTACGCGCTAAACTAGTTTTGCTTCCGGTTTTCGTATAGCCAAGTTCTAATGCCGTTTCAGAAAGCCACTAAACACCGATTAACCTAATCGATCGATTATTGCATTGAAACCAATCGCATTTGCATCAGCAGTCTTGACCAATTATGATTGACACTTGATCGACTGATTTGGTTAATCAGAGTTGGTGATCGGCCCTTAACCAATATTCACTAGCCATACGTTGGTAAAACAATATAGTATACATGAGATGCCATTTACAATATAAATTGGGAACTCATAAAATGTCTTTTTGTCAATCAAAATTTAAATGCCAGCTTAGCCTCGGTCTTCCCTATATTTTCTGAAAAAATCAAGCTTTCAATATTTTCAGAGACAGATTACTGAATAATTCATCCGAGAAAGTATAAACTATCATGTAATTTCGTTATGGATATGTCATGAAAAGATAATACTTCCTGCAACGAATTTTGGATACACTTTCGTATAAAAATTAGAACTTAAGTAATACACAAAATTTTAATTGTAACGCTCAAAAGTTTAGACTAGGAAATATGCAATTAGCAAATCTGTTAGAGGTCAAAAGCAAGTGGATTACATTTCCACGAAGTGTTCTAATATAATTGGCGCTGATGCGCCGGGTGAATTAAAATGAATTACATAATAAGAATGTCCTTAACGATATAAAGACAGTATAAAAGCGCTTTCAAGATTAAGAGTGGTGTCAAACCACGATTTACATATACGGCGATATGATCGTTGCAACATTTATACCATTCTTTTTAGGTAAGTCAACTGTTCATAAATTGGCATATCACATTTTAACTTATACATTTATTTATAAATTATATTCTTTCCCTTTCATGAAATTTAATTTTTAGTACAAGATGATTTTCTGAACCTTTGCTACACATGATGAATCGTTTGTGTCCCGAATTAATTTTCATTCATTTTATACAATGTAAAAATTATCAAGCTCACAAAGAACTCAAAAAATCTAGTAACTTTTCGAAAGTAGAGAGATTTCAAATTCTAAAACCCTTTGTTTAAATTTAAATTTCGTTCATTTTTTACGAAAATGTATATACAATTTTTAACTAGAAAATTGAAACGAGTTTTCCGAAAACACACACAAAACCTAATATATTATTACAAAAGACAATATGAAATTTATTGTATTTGTATTCCTGTGTTGTGCAAATTTGTGAAAAATTCTTTTTTTTAGTCGTTAATTCGTTATTGTGGGAGATTGGTGTTTCAGAGACTTAGCAATTCTTGGTTGGGGCATGAAAGCAAATTTTAGCGTAAAGTGCAAAAGGCATTCCATTCGTAATGTTTCCATATATGTGGCAATTCCTTGTTAGACAAGAAATGTATATAATCAGCGCATGTATATAATCATCGTGTGTTATATTTTAATTTTAAAATTTTTGACTGCGATTCAATCATCAATTAGATATATGTAGATAAATTATTGTACACTAATAAGGACTCTAATCGAGAGTTGAAACGTTTGTCGTTACTGTCTTTATAATAAAAAATTTACTCACACATCAACTTGTAGTAACTTTTATAGGCTATATTTATTTCTATTTAATACAAAAAAATTATTAAGTGTTTCTCACATACAACATACTCCAGAAAACATATTTACAAAGTTGTATATTTAAAAAAAATAGGATAAAAAGATAGAGACCATCATTTAGTTAATGTTTTTAGTTAAAAAAAAAATGCGCAGGACACAAATGATCTAATCGTGTGTATAAAAGGTTAAAAAAGAATTTTTTAATAGTATATTTTTTTTTAAAATCGATAATAAATATGTTATAAATATGTAATGAAATATAAAACCGCGATAAATAATAAGTAAGATTAATAGCCTAGCAATAAGAATGATATTGTTTTACAAAAATTGCTTCATAAAAATTTTAATATTCTTTAGCCGTGCAACTTCCTATCGAGGATGGTGCGTGGCCGTATGGACCCGAGTACATCTTCACTGTTCACATGAATGTGACGGGGATACCACAGTGTCCTCGTCCAGCATGCGGTAATCCGTCCGGTTATCGTATCACCTCTCGGTTGCATTGCATCCCGAAGACGAATGATACTCTGAGCTGCAGCTTTAGGTATGTCGACGGCTTTGATTTTGGTATGATCGGTGAGGAAGACAATGTCGTGAACCGACGCAGAAATATCACTGATGCGCCTATCGAGCTATTTTTCGACGAGAAAGGCATCGAGAATATCATCACAAGCCAGCTGACGCGTATCTATGACCTCAACATCTTAAAGATGGTGGCCGAGCAGCTGCATCCTGGCAACAATTTTAATAATATCGGGGATGGCACATTTGAGGATGAAACTACATCCACCATAGGCAGATGCAACGTCACCTTCGATGTGTATCATCATTCTGGGGCTGAAAATGCGAATAAGACACGATTTCGATTAAAACTATTACCGCCGAAATTGCGTATGACCTCCACAGAGACTCTTGTCATCGATAAACAGACGAATCTTAATAATTGTAGCTGCTACGCAGACAGTTACTTTCGCAGATATGGTGATACGGTTGTTTATCAACGCTTGCAAGCGGATTTAGTAAGTTATCTACTCGACGATAATATACATAATTGTGAATAGTTTGCTTATGTTTTTAATGATCGCTTTTAACAAATTCAATTTGTTTTCAACATTTTGTATCAATTTTTGGCTTCGTGTTCGAAAAGAAGCGTAAGATCAGAAATTATTCTTAATTTATTATATTTGTCATTTTTTAGGACGTTATGATTAGTCATATGGAAATCAGTGAAACGAGTTTTAGTTCGTCTACAACAAGGAAGGGTACATCGGTTTCAAACCACAAGACATACAATATAATTGAAATTACAAAAATAATCTTGGAAGACATTCAGCCTGCCACGAGAGACCCGCCCGCGATCGTGAAACCGGGCGAGACCAAGATTCTTGCTAATCATGACATAAGTAGTATTTCTACTTTTTAATAATAATGATTAAAAATGCTAATGTTATGAAAACAATTATACAAAATAATACATAAAATTTACTACACGCGTATATATTATATGCATAATAAAAAAGTAAAAGCTTATTATGGAAATGTATATATATGTACATAGTGATAAAATAAACAGAAAATAATTTAATTTAATCAACCGTATTTTTTAAATTATTTCTTCAAAAGTTCAATTACATATTATTATTATTAATATTAACAGCAATGTAATAAAACTACTAAATAGTAAATGCACATAGTAAATTTTTTTATTTATATTACGCATACATTAAATTATAACTAGAATGATGGACGCATGTTCACGTACACACACAATATGGAATGTGCGTGTATGTGTGTGTATACGCGCATATGTGTTATGTATGAAAAATGTATACGTATACAATAATCATCATAAATTGAGAATTATTCAATGATTGCGATACTTAATTCTAATTAGTCAAATTGCAAATGGCCCTTGAGAATTTTTGAATCGCATGATCGCACAGAGCTAATGCAAACGTAATTTTGTTTTAATTTAAGTTACATTATAAGTTTTACTTTGGAGCTTTAACTCAATTTTTTTCCATATTTATATGAATGTGTAGTAATAATCCATACGTCCACATGTATTTACTTCGCTCTTGAAATGATAATGCACCTTGACATTAATAAATTTTAATACTTTCAGATAATGAATTTAATAGTCACAAAAATACCAATTTGGAGAATAGAAATAATTTATGCAAATCACGATAACATGCATTGCACTTAATTCATTGTAAATAATTTTTCACATCTTCTAACGTAATTATACACTTGATATCCGTTATAATTAATAGTTGATTCGTCATAATCTAAGTCAACTACACAATTGTAAATGCAAGAAGAATACTAAATTTTTAATAAACCTCATTTAATATCCATCCCTTTAAAATTTAGCGCACAAAAATTAATTACACAATACAAATGAGGGAAGGAGTTCATCCAAAAATATTTCTAAAACATCTTATCAATCTGAGCTGAATTATAATGCTTAAATAATATTTCGATATAAATTTATATACATATTCAGTTTTATATGAATTCATACCAAAATATTATTTATAAAAATGTATTTTCATGTTATTTTCAACGTTGAATTGAATGGTGTAAAAATAAATTATTAATATTTTTCCAGCTCTCAATCCAGTTCGAATCTATAAGGCCTTTTCGTTACTTATTGTGTATTCATATTACGGTCTTATTTTACATTGTTTGTTTCTAAAAGAACTTTAATCCATAACGAATCTTGCAATTGAATCTTCATTTGATTAGAAAAGAAGCGCTAATTTTTTTAAAACAATTATTTTCTCAATCTATACATACATATACTTACGCTATGTGTAACAATAACACATTGTAAAGTTACACAAAACCAAAAGAAATTTGTAATTTTAATTGTTTCATTCGCAGATGACAATATATTGTTTTATTATTGTTTTAGATTCATAAGTATGTTACGATTCAAATCGAATTATATTATGAATCTATTGTAAATATTAAATCATCAAAATCAATTTTAGACTTCAATACTTACAATGGCACAATTACAATTACTTTTGTGCGTTAACATGATAACATAATTATTATTCACTGTCGTCCATTCACGAAATACACAATCAGTCATTAACTATACCTTTCGAATATGCATTATGTCGAATATATGAATAGAAGTTATTGCCACGCTAGTGAGAGAGCAGATTTCATGAGAAAAGTATCGAAAGGCCTTCTTCTTCCTATTACAGGAATTAATTCTTGTTTAAAGCTGGACAAGGTGTATAAAAAGTCATTCTCGATGTTCTCGTATAATACGCATAGAAAGAAATATAAAGTGTATAGTTTGTACAGTCATTGTAAATTACGTTGGATACAAAATTCGTTCATATAATATTAATGTGCAAGAAAAACAGTCAATCAAAAAGTTTTAGACCGTTATGACATATAACCCTCTGATTGAATACTGTGTGTCACCGAGAGTGTATAAAACAATCATTTAAATAGATCACAAATCTCTTACAACTAGATTATCAGATACGTATCTGTGTATTTCGTGTTAAGTATATATTCTATGACTGTACTGTGTAAACTGAGTGTTAAATTATAATATGTAGCACGTATTTTCAAAATAAAATGATTTATCTACATAAAGTGTATACACAGGATGGTACAAAACTTCAATTTCTTTGAAGAGAAAATTCCCGCAAAAATTATTATTTTGCAAAAAATAATAATTTTAAGGGGATCAATGATCTTGTTAACCGAAAAAAATGACCGAAAATTAAAATTTTTCTAAAGAAATCTATTAGGATCTTAAGTTGTGACCAATGTTTGCTTCGACTAGGATAAGAGAATTTCAACATATCAATATTACGATTATTCATAGTTTCTGATAACAGTTCTTATTCTCTGTTGAAATTTTTATTCTCTGTTCCAGTTCTTATTCTTTGTTCCTATTTCTTGATTGTGCGCAATGCGCAGCCCCTTATTTTAAAATGGCCATATTGGTCACAACTTTTAAAATTGATATCGGAATACCCTGTACATTCTGAATCTTTGAGCATGCGCTTTGAATATTTTTCAATGGTTTCTAGCATATTTTCTATACTTGTTTCACTTGAGTACTCGATGTAAATTCGATTTTTACAAACCTGATGTATATGTATAATGTGAAATGATATGATTGCATAAACAATGAAGAAGGAGAATTCCACTTTGCACAGTAAGATACGATAAGCCGCACGTAGTAGAAAAGTGTATAAAATAAATAGTGCCGATTCAAGCGACTTACTCATAATCTATACTCTTCTTATTTTATAAGTAAATACATTTTCTGGCACGAAAAGTATCAGTACTCGATACCGTAAATCTTGAATACTTAGATCAAAATTATTATCGCCGTTTTATAGCCTACTTAAAAATTATTTTAAATTTCGAAATCTTATATCGCATTTAATTGACTATTAATGGACATATTCGTATGCTTTAATCAAAAAATATCCAGACTTTATAGTAATAATATAATTTCTTATACCAAACATGATCTTAACAGTTCTTGTTATGTACTTCGTTCTTTTAACAAACAAACAGAGATCAAATAATACCTCGTCAGGATTCCGAAGGAGTTCTCCTTCTCATTTCATGATTTTTTCCTAGCTGTAGTAATCCCTAATATTCTCTTCAAAAACAAGTTAACTTAATCTACGTATGTACAAATATTACGCTCATGGAAAAAGCGTGATGTGGCGCGATCCGATCAAAAGTTCTTGTATACAAAAGGTAAACGGCACGTGTTAGGCGGAACAACGCGATGATGGACTGATGCCGACATTATTGGCCGTTATTTATGTTGTTCTGTTGATTTTTCACAGAATCCATATTCGGCATGTAGTCCATCGCCATCAGACAGGCAAATACCGTCATCACCATCTTCGGTTTCACCTCGGTAATGTCTTCCGGTAACGCGTAGACACGTGCACCGCACTTTCGCGCCAAAGATATCGCATACTTCGCATTGTCCAGATTCTCCTGCACAATGAAAAAAAACAACAATTGTTGATTAGTCACACTAACAATGAGGCGTCAAGAAGGATTGATTCATCTAGAACGTTCCACATTTTCGCGTAATCGATTGGCTTTCAGCTTTGAACTATCGTGAGTAATATAAGCGGAAAATTTCTAATTTATTGAACATAAATTATGGATATAACTAATATCTATGAGCATAAAAACAAATTTTTGAAGACTAAAGGAAACGATTTGTAAGTATAAATGATTTGAATTGATTGCTGGATAATTGATAGAAATAAGTGTTTTTCTACTAATATATATTGTATGTAATGAGCGTTTGACTTGCTGAGAACTTTATATAATTAAAAATTATTTTTATCGATCAAAACGAAAATCTAAGATCTTGGATTTATTAGATTTCACCAATATTGTATGTTATAAAAGATTAAAAATCTGCCAATGTTTTTAATAGCTTCTAGATGCTTTATGAAGTTTTTGAAATTTTATTTCCTCCTTTCATACTATGAGCAGTACCTCCTTTAAAATTACAAAAAAATCGACAATGTTCAATTCAAATTTATCAAAATTATTTTTGTGCAATTCAAAGTCTTGCAAGATTTAATTAGCTTGCATTATGAATTGAGGCCGGTAAAGTTCAATATTAATAATATACGCTGACGTAAGACAAAGGTAAGCTTAACATAAGCGTGGTAGGATCAATCACTTCTATAGAAATAATTATTATTACGATACAAATCAAATTAACCTTGACATTAACTCAGAATACGAGCTCTAAAAATATGAAGAAGGAAAAAGCGGAATTCTTACATGTTCAGTACCACCCTCCTTAATGAGATTGTAGTTAACCGAGCCCGGCTTGATGGCTTCGATGAGATCGAGAACGACTTTGCCATCCGCTATTGAGTAATCCTGAAATCCCTTGATACTGCTTTTTCCAGCCGCTTGGAGTTTAGAATTCACCCATTTAATAATTTCTTTCTCTACAGCATTTCCTTGGGTTCCAGCCAAAGATGTCAGAATTGACAATGTGTACGATCTCATCAATTGCCATATCAGGGCCAACGTCAAGGTCGCATTTCCATCGTTGATATCCTGTCCGGCGATGCCCACAAGCGAGAAGTTCATCTGCTTACCTAACTCGACAGCGTAATTGCAGTTTTCTAATGTTTCCATAAACTTCCGAAGTTTTGTGAATTTCTTGTGCACTTTATTCCAATTCACAGTGCCTGGCTTGATGATATCATACAACTGAAAAATTACCAGACCATCAGCGAGATCTGAGTAGAGCCAGTTGACATGTGGCGATACGCCCATTGAGTTCATCCAGTTTCTATAGGTTTTTTCTTCTCGCGTCTCCTCTAAAGATTCTAAACCTTCGATGTTGCTTTTTGGCTTATCTAATCCAGGGTAATTGTTAAACATATTGGCGACGAAAGCTAAATTGAGCTTATAAATACCATTCACAACATCGCTAGGCGTCACAAAACTACGACAACCCAATTTTGCAGCTTGTTGAAGCATAATCTCCGCCCTAGACATGTGATTCGGTTCCATCAAGGCTTCTAAGGTAACTCCAGCCGAGTTGGGTGCAATTTGTTTGATGAGATAAGTATAAATCTCAGAATCCGTAATGTCAGATTGGAAGTTGTTGCATCGCCTGGCGATGCCAGCATTCTCCAAGTGATGGTTCACCCATCTGAGAAGAATGGCCTCTGGAGATAACTTCAACAAATCTTCAATTCGTTCACCTTCCTGCAGGAGAGTAGCTAAACCAGGGCAGTTCTCGAGAGTAATCTGGTTAAATAAGCCGATCCGGATGATCTGCCAAAGCAAACCTAACACCAAATGGGGCGAACCTTTGGTGAGATCATGGGCATCGATGTTTATAATGTTGCAGCCAATAGCTTGTGCTGAAGACAGTGCTAGCGTCAAGTTTTCATGTTTCTTGTATAATGTCAGATTTTTCTTGTTGATTGTGCGCTCGTCAATGGTATCCGGGCAAGAATGATTAATTATTTTACTGAAAAATAGATGCAAAATTAATTTTTAATAAGTTAATCAATTTTAGAGTCACTTATCAATCGTAAAATAAATTGATAGAATTTCAATATTATTATATTTAAAAATTAATATCGAAATTTATGGATGCTTGTTAGTTCCAGATATACTTTTTATTGCTTAATAACATTATTTATCAATTTAAATATTAAAAAAAAATACATATATTCCAATAAAATTTTAAAATAAAAAATAAATTTAAAATAAAAATAAACAAAAAGAGATAACAGAAGACTGGATAAGACTGGATAATAATACATTGTACACACCAGAGTAATATGCCATCCTTGACCTTGTCATAGAGTGTTTTTCCTTCGGGATCGATAGGCAGCAGGTGCTTTAAGTCGGGATCGTGCGACAGATTAGTGTTTATCCAATCGCTGAATGCCAGTTGTTCCTCAAGTCTGACAGAATGCGTGGTTCCTTCGCTGGACGCCTCGGAAATTCCACCCAAAGTTTCAAGATTCTCCTTTTTCGACACGACTTGCTTGAACGTGGAGCCAAGTTCGTTGGCTTTGAGCTCTTTGCAGAGCTTTTCGAACTCCTCGAAGGAGAGCCGACCTTTATGCTCTAACCGCTGCTTATCATCGTATTCCTCGATCATCTGACGTACTTTGTAGCCCGGCATTTTGAAGCCGCAAACATCCAAAGCATTTCGCAACTCGGTAACGTTAATGAAACCATCTCCATTCGCATCAATCTATCCGAAAAAGGAAATCATTAGTCTTTTCATCGTACTTTTTTTTGTACAGTCAATAAAAGTTTTTTTATTTAAAATTCGATAAAATTATATTATGAAAGAGATTTAAAAACCATACAAAATATTTATCCTTCTTTTTTAATTTAATTAAAATTTCTTAAAATTTAATTAAGAAGTTTTCTTTGCGTTGAAATCCATTGCATTGATATCAGTGTGATTTACAAGAGAAACAAAACTTTTTCTTTTATCTTCATTTATAATAATTTTTCGTAAAGCTACTGCTAAATGATAATAATGTTAGATAATGTCTGATAAAATCAAACTTACAGTAATATCACTCTTGATAACATTGTGCAATATATGACAGTAGTTTTTCTATAATGCGATTTCCGTCACGCAGAAAGATATATATTTATTACAAAAGAGAAAAGAGAGGATAATTGTGTACATAATAAAATATAATTAATTTAATAATTAAGATTGAACGTAACAAATATCAACAAATTTCATAAAACATCGCGAATAAGAGATAATTATAATAAAATGGATGTGAACATTTACCGATTTCAGAGAGTTTTTTAATGTATTGTAGTAGATATACACATCACACTCATTAATTTTCTTTTACAAGAAGTAACAAAGGAAATGTAAATTTTATATAATTTGTGTAATAATTTAGCAATTATACTCAAGTAATTAACAAGCGAGCACATTTATTCTTTTTTGATGTTTTGTTGTTTAAATTAATTTAAATGTAATTATGATGAATAATACAAAATAAACAATTTGCAAGATTATTTTAATTACTTTTCGCATAATTATACGTCTGCCGTTAAAATCCCATAAGAAATGGATTACACAAGAAATGCATCTACGCAATTCTCGCAAAGTCACAAGGCTTATCGCAAAAGTAATTCAGGTCATGAAAAATTCTGCTAGAAAATCCGCAAACATATCTATGCATCATTCCTAGACATCATTTTCACGCGAGAACAATGAGCATACGGTAAAGACATAAATGTAAGCGGTGTATTTCTGAGAAGATGATGGACTTGCATTGGAATTAGTCGACAGTTCTTTATGGGAAATGCCCCCGAAAAGTATATGTACCGTTAACTAATTTATATTTCATATTCTTCGTAAAATATATAGAAACTCTAAGTCTTTGATGTCGCTTTTTTTCAATTACAAGAGCTTAATCTAACAAAAAAAATGTATATTGAATTGGAGAAAAAGTCTTTTTACATATATACGTAAAAGGACCTTTATTTTACAATATCTTCGTTAAAAATAAACGTAATTTAAATTTAAAGAAAGGGTTTTAAAGATAAAAATCTCTATTTTCAAAAAATTACTGTATTTTTTGAGTTTCTGTGAATTTGGTAATTTTTACATATAAAAAACTACGAGATAAAAAAGATAAAAATTTTTTTTCACTTTGTGAGTCTTTTATGTGCCTAAAAAAAATTTGCGAAAATTTTCGACTATCTATTGTAAAAGCTTGAAACTTTCCCTACAAAATCATTTTTTAAAATGTTTCTACGGTTTTTTGTTCCTTCGAGTTATTCGCGAATTAAGTAAAGAAAGAAACACGCACACATTCTAATGTTGATTGCTCATAACTCCATTAAAAATCATCATACCGCAATTAAAAAAACAGATTCTGAAACTTTGCTCTATCAAACGATACAATTGCAACAAAAATCTCGTAATAAATGATGAATTGGGGACGCAATAAATGGAGAAGGATCCTTTTATATATATATATATATGTATATGTAAAAGAACTTTTTCCCAATCCAAATTTAGAAGAAAAAATTATCATTTTTTCTACCCATTTCTATTCAAACGTTTATCACACGAAATTTATTGGAGATGTGTTGAATCTTAGCTACAGAAATTGAAGAAAATAGAGGCTGAGTGCACTCACTAACTTAAATAGCTCCCGAAAATCCTTAAAGTATTCCAGCACGACGTCCAATCTTTTCATGTCACAAATTTCCATGTTGAGAAAAAAAAGGTTTTGTTCCGTAGAAAAAGGATCAAACTGTTACGACAGACTAGAACATACTGAAACTGTCATCGAGGACTTATCAGTTTTATCGATCGCGTAACGAAGTGGAACATAAGTGAAATATCGAATAGAATATCCACAGAAGCATCACTCGGTTATGATAACACAATAACATTAAAAAATGTTATCATGACTTTATCATAATCACAATCAAGCAATTAGAAATAAAATATATCTCATATATCTCAAAATTAAAAACTTTGATTTATTTAATTAAAAAAAAAACGCGAGAGAGTATTGTGTAAATCATTTTATTTTATACAATCATATTTAACTCTCACATTAGTTCTCCTAATTATATTATTTTTAAATCTGTAAGTTCTATTAATTTTTTATTATTTTGTAACAAAATGTGTATCAAAGTGTATTATAATATTTTCTAATAATTAATTTTAATTATTACATAATAAGACAAAATATATATATTATATATATATAAAACAAATATATATATACATATATAAACAAAATTCTCATTTCGTTTAAAATTAAACGTCATTCGCAGTGTTATCTAGATAAAATTATTTAGATAATCATCTAGATGAAGAAATGGCTTTATTTTATCTATATCTACATCATTAAGAATATAGATTATCTTTGTCTTATCTTAGATAAAAAAAAATGTTATCTTTTTCAATTTATCTAGCAGAAGAGTACTATAAGAAATTTCTATGTAAACAATCAACCTCCAGTAGTAGTAGTTATAAGGACTTTCTTTGTGATATAGACAAAAAAATTGGGATTAGTTCGACACCAGTCATTCAAAGCAACATTGAAGTATTTTCATATTTAGAAAATAAATCAAAAGAATTAGATATTCTGATTTATATCCACACATTAAACACATTTTTTTTTAATAATATAACACGTCATTGCTATCATCAGCGCCAGTAGAACGTCTTTTTAGTTGCGGACAACAAATATTAATTCCACGTAGAAACCGTTTATATATCAGATGATATATTTTGTGTCATTTATCTTATCTATATCTAGATAATTTTATAAACATGGAAATGGCATTGTTTATAATGTTTTTAAAGAAAGAGTCCTTTATTTGTTCTATTTTTGTTTTAGATAATTTTAATTATCTAAGCTCAACACTGGGGTCATTTGTTACAACAGATGGCAGGCAAGTTTCTAGAGGCGAGTTTCACGGCTTTTTGATTAAGCATCTGGTAAATTCATCAGCGCATAACTAATACGTTAGTAACATAATCAAATAACCAAATTTTATCGTGTTTCAACATTAATAGTAGAATAAATACCGAGAAATATTTATAATACATACAGTTGCAGCGTTCAAAAAACATTCAACTTCATACGTAATATATTTGATTTAAATTTGTAGAAATTTTGCAGTACTAAATATACTGCAAAAAGTACGAAAAAATATTTAAACATTTTTTTATGGAATAGCGATAATAATTCTAGTGATATTTTATTTTTATAGCAAAAAGCAGATATGTTATCTTATACTTTCATACTTATCAAAGTACGCAAAACTAGGATAAAAAATGGATTAATCATCTATAATATGTAAGGTATATATGTAAATTTTTTATATTTGATACTGTTTTATGTATATATTATATTATATTAATATTTATTCTGTATGGTTTAACAAAGATTCGAATAACAAAGTTAAGAAACGTGACACATTCCTTCTTATGTCGATACAATAGCCATGTTTTTCATTTTCTCATAAAATTATCTTTCACTTCGTCACGGGAGTATGCAGAATGTAAAACGCAAGAAAGGTACTTCTTCAAAGTTTTTCCGTATACATAACGGACGTGCCATCAACCCGCGAGCGAGAACTCGGCGACGGAAAAGGGAGTAAAAGTCCGCTAACTGAACATTTACTCTGTCGTAACATTTCCTCGTGAAAATACATGCTTCCTGCCGTTCTTTTATTTTCCCGACGAGCTACGATCGCATTGTCACGATGCAACAAAATCGTGCAATTTATGGACGCATCGATCGAGAACGCGGGTCTTTCGCGCGTATCATCGTACATACAGTACTTATAGAATACAAAAAACGAATAGCAAATGAAAATCAATTGACCGTGAATGCGCATTTCGTTTGGAGTAATCTTCTTTTTATTTCTCCTCAACTGTATATCAAATCACAATGACGAGAAAAACGATCAAATAAAAAAACGTGCTATTATCAAATCGTTACTATCACAGCGCGATGAGAAAAACGATCAAGTTAAATATACGCTATTATCGAGATAAATTGAGCAAGCAAGAACAAACAATCTCGAACAAACATTTACGGATAAACATAAATGAGCGAGTTAATAGCGAAGAGAACCAATTTGATAAAATGTAATTTGTGTGTGTGTGTGTATGTGTAGAATAATTCAATATGGATTTAAATCATTTTACTAAAATGTTTGACGTGCGATATTTCGTGATAGCACTTCTTTACTTTTTCCGGCAATCCACGCATACTGCTTTCAGGCAAACATGTGTATACATAGTTTCAAGCAGCTGGCACATATACTTAATGTACACCATATCAAAATGCACACCTGCCATCAATGAAGTACCAAAGTGAACAAGTTTTTACTATGTTCATATAACGACGTTATCTCATAATGTATGAGATGACACTTTTCATTTTTCCCAATGAATTAATATACATAATAATCCTATTGGTTGTTTCGAAAAAAATTTATATTATATTTTAATATAAAAGATTAACAGTGCGAAAACATTTGATAATTCGAAAGAAATATTTTATTTATTTGTTAAATATTTTATTTATATATTATAAACGTGTGTTGTGTGTGAGAAAATCCCCTTCTGATAATAATTCTTTCTTTCGTAAAACGTGAGCACCGTGAACCAATTTACATTGAAAAATAACAAAATGTCAATGCACACTTTTTTTCTTTTGCGTGACGGTTTCTGCAACC